GCTTTTTCTTATTTGCCTACAGTCTATGCTCATCTCCCATCAAAAGTGACACTGCCACCTAGAGGGTCAATTTGTTACTACATACTCTGTCTAGAAGCCGATATTTACGGACAAGCTTTAGCAGATCGTCCCCCAGACACTCTCGCTGAAAAACATAAAAGACGTCTATAGACGTCTTTGGCAGTCAATGAGTTAATAAATAATTTCCCTCTGGGATTATTAAAGTATTTCTGATTGTGATTGTGATTGAAATACCGGAGTATTAACGGAGCACACAGAGTTATCGGGCTGCTCGTTTAGGGCCCAGACCCCCCACAGGGGCTAATTTGGGCTAAAGAGCTTCAAATACCGGAGTATTGGTGCCTCTTATTGACACGGCCTCTGTTCCCAGCAGAAGACGTGGAGAACTTCGAGGTGGCGGCGTTGCCCCTGGAGACGCAGAGGAACATCGAGGCCGACAGCTTCTGGTGCATGAGCAAACTGCTGGACGGCATCCAGGTGAGCCGGCCCTGTTCTGACCTCCACCGGGGTTTCAAACTACCCCCCTCCACTAACCCCCTCCTGTCTAGGGATGGGGATCGAAACCCGGTTCTATCAAGGACCCGGTTCCACTTTTTTCAAAACCCGAAAATCAATAACGTTTGGGCTTATTATCGATACCACTATCGAGTCTGGTCGTTTTTTTTATTATTACAATAGATAGTAATTGTGAAATCCGTGTTGTAATCGGCAGCATACAAGCTAGTTAGCTTGAAAAGTAAATAAAGTTTCAGACGTGCTGCGTGATGATGTGTTCAGATTGAATCAGTAAAACAACAATTAGATTATCATGATGCGTTCAAGTGTAACGTAAAGAAAAGGGGAATTGAGTTTTTGGCGAGAAACATGAGTACCGGTAATACAGTTGTATATTGCTCTAATTATTTTAGAATATATAATTAAACTACTGATGCCAACATTTATTAAAAATGACATTTAATTTAAAATACAATTATTTATTTGCTAAATATTGTCGCATCGTCTTTCCACCAAATAACAGAAAAGTATCGATAGTGGTATCGATAAAGACTCGGATCGATGAGGAGCATCGATAAAGGTATCGATATCGATAAATATTAACGATCCCCATCCCTAACCCTGTCCCCCATCTCCCAGGACAACTACACCTTCGCCCAGCCGGGCATCCAGAACAAGGTGAAGGCTTTGGAGGAGCTGGTCAGCAGAATAGACGGTGAGAGGGGAAAAAACAGGGGGTTCACATGATACTAAATCGTTCAACTGGATACCGATACTCAGGAAAATATTTGATACCATGTTCGATACCACAAGGATAAAAACAAAGACCCCAAAATTTAACTGAATTTTGACAGGTTAGTGTCTTTGGTTTCAAACTGACCTGTTACTGATGTTATGGTGGCCCACATTAATGACCATAACCCTAACCCTAACCCTAACCCTAATCCTGACCCTAACCCTAACCCACATTAATGACACTAACCCTGACCCTAACCCTGACCCTAACCCTAACCCACATTAATGACCCTAACCCTAACCCTGACCCTGATCCTAACCCTAACCCTAAACCTAAACCTAACCCTAACCCTGATCCTAACCCTAACCCTAAACCTAAACCTAACCCTAACCCTGATCCTAACCCTAAACCTAACCCTAACCTTAAACTTAACCCAAACCCTCCAGCCTTCATAATTGTGAGAAATAAATATTTTTTGGTTAAACTTGTTTGGACTTATTGTACAAACCTATTTAAAATCCACTATTTTAACATAATATTATGTATAGAGTTTAATTCAGTGTTTGCAAGATTCATTTAACTATTTTTAAATGAATGTCTATGTTTCCATGAAGCAATTAGGATTTTCTTGCCTGGGATCTTCCTATTGGTGACCTAATCAAAATGGCCGACTTGGATGTGGGGGAGTTGGATCTCGATGCTTGGCTTCCTGCAGTCTTGATTAATGTCGGCGTGTTATTATTAGCTATTAGCCGCAGCTAGCAATTCAAGGCTAACGTAATGTTAATGATCATAAACAACGTAAATAAATACATAAATAAATCAGAGAGAAACTGAGTATCGTATCCGGATACAACGTTTTAGTATCGCTACGTTTGACAACCCTAGTGCTTACATTTATTTATTTAAATTTTTTTATTTATTTATATATATTTTTATTTTTTTATTTATTCATTTTTCCTCCAGTGGACATCCACAATCATTTCAAAAGGTACGAGGTGGAGTACCTGCAGTTCGCCTTCCGGTGGATGAACAACCTGCTGATGAGAGAGCTGCCGCTGCGCTGCACCATCCGCCTCTGGGACACCTACCAGGTACAGCCTAACCCTA